GGAAGTGGATAAGATTTGGGTATCGGGCCGATAATTGGGCCTGATTAATTTGGGCTACAGAGCCAACGTTGGGTCTATTCGGATGTGGGCTAATGTTTTTGTTTAAATTGGCCTAGTTAGTTTGACATTTGGTAATGGACCTTTGAAGCCCAATATTGAGATACCATGGTCGAAATTGGGACTCGCTCAAGCATGTACCTTGACTAATTGTAATTGATATGCTTTCATTCAAAAATCATGAGCAATTTTTCTCATGTCTAACGTAGTTAAATAAAAATATATATTTAATTATCTCGACATATGACATCAATAATTACATTGTTAGGGTATGTTTGGTATGACATATAAGCTAGCTTATAGCTTATTTGATTAGCTTATAAGCTTCCTGTATTAAATAAGCCCTGTTTGGTAGGACGAGCTTATTTAAAAAGCTCGAGCTTATTTGATAAGCTTGTTTAGGTAGTGTTTCAAAATAAGCTCGTTGAATTTTTTATTTCAGCTAGCTTATAAGCTACTTTTACCAAACACTTTTATCATATAAGCTAACTTATAAGCTATAAGTCATAAGCTATAAGCTATAAGCTAGCTTATCACATATAAGCTATAAGCTAGCTTATCAGCTATCAGCTAGCTTATTAGTTAGTTTTACCAAACACACCCTTATTCGAGTCGAGCATAGTAGCGAGCTCTTATTTATTTCTCAAATGATTTTGTTGGGAGTTTTTAATAAACATAAGAGAGATGCTATGGTCGGAACCATTCGGGGTTTGTAACCGTTAAATCAACTATTTCTGACGATTACATGATGATCTAACGATTACAAATCCCAACGGAATGACTCCGTAACGAGATCGTAGCATTTCCCTAAATATAAATACTAAAGTAGTATAGTCCATGAGGAAGGAAAATTTGTTTGCATTCGACTTGGTTAAAAATTGGTTATTTCTTTTAATATAATAAAACTATAATTTGTTTGCATTTAGGCTTGGTTAAAAATTGGTTATTTCTTTTAACATAATTAAACTATTTTTTTTTCAAAGGAAGAGAGATATTTGGGAGCATGTTGGATTCATCTAATAACTAGTACAAAGCCCGTGTATTACACGGGTGTTTGCTAATTTTTTCCTTAAAATCTAAAATTATTGAGAAAAAGTAGTTGAAAATTTAAATAACTTTTATAAAAATATATATTATTATATATTTAGTATGACACTTTTTATTTGTGTGACTTACTTGTGTTATATTATAATAATTTTTTTAACTTACAACATATAACTACATTAAACAGAAATATATCAACTGAGAAATAATTTTAGTTTTCTAATAAAATTTAATAAATATTATTTTTTATTATTATAAAGGTAAATATTATTTATTTATTTTATATATACAATATGGATGTCAAATCGAAGATCATGAAAAGATGATTAATTTGATATATTATATATGTAAAACCGATAAGAAATACAAAAGTTATCAACTTTTAAAATACATTTATAATTCAATAGCTAATTGAAGGAAACAAATCAAAAGTCAGGGATATATTAGTCACTTAGTGTCTCACTATGTAAAATTACAAAGAATTAAAGGGTTATATTAGTACAAGTGATATTAAAATACCTAAGTTAGCTAAATAATATTTATGGAATGTCCGAACCTAGATATATTATTAATATATCAATATTATTTGTCCGAACCTAATTACGAAGCATGATTCTTCGCCAAGTAGTATTCTGAAGCACCAGAAGCAGCTACGTAGGCTCTCAGCGCATTCCGGAATTATATATAGGGGCCAAATGAGTTTGATAAGTTGTTTGAGTACGATTCAAATTCATTTAATTAAGAAGTAAATATTAGTTTCGAATAATAATTATAAAATAAATAATAAATAAATAATAAAGGGTACAAATACTATTTCTCTTTCGAAAGCTTGAAATAAAATATTTTGTTTTCCTTGGAGATGCTATTGTTCATTTACGAATCCATTTCGTCGAAATTTGTAATCGTTAATATAACTACGAATCCCGGAATGGTTCCATAAAAGTACCATTTCCCCGTTTTCATATTGAAATCAATCAACCTTTTAGTTTCTCTCTCACACACTGACACACATCTTCTCCCCTCCCTCACAGACACAAAACTCTCTCTCTATCTCTTTCTCTCTCTCTCTCACACAGACACGCAGAGATTCATACCTAGCACGTAGTGCAGTTATTGCAAATGGGAAAACGAGAACTGTTTTGGACGTACAAAAGCATTTTCTCTCTCTTTCTTTCTCTGTGGCAATCATCGACCCATCATGTGACCCCTCCCCCCGTTCCCTGCATTCATTCACTGCTCCACTGCTCTCTCTCTCTCTCTCTCTCTCTCTCTCTCTAATCACCCCCCTTAAAAGCTTCCACACCCACACCACACACTGATAGAGTGATAGTGGGTTCATTCAAAGTTTCTACATTTTTTTCACTTAAAGCTCTAATAAAGCAGCAATCTTCGGCTACACAGAGCATAGGTTCTTACTTCTTAAACCCCATCAAGGGTTTTCATCTCTCACACACAGCAACTTCGTGTGGGAGCACGCTCAGTGGTGTGTGAAGTGTGTGAATGTGAGCACACTCAGAGATGGGCTGTTTGCAGTCCAAAACTGCTAATGTTCAGTCGCCTGACCAAGAACCCTCGCAGCCGGATTCCAAACCAGATCTGGGTATTCCACAGTTTCTTCTCTTTCGTGTTCTTTTTCAATATGTACGTGTGTGTTTGTTGGGGGGATTTGTGTGCGCTTTAACTGGCTTTATAAGGAGTTATTTACATACTGCCCCCATTTTTCTCGTCTTTCCTATCATCATTGCGCTTGTTACAAGATTGTGCAGTCTCTATTTTACTTTTCGATTTTTCTAGTTTCTTTATGTTGGGCATTTTTTAGTTCGGCCTTGCTTTCCTTTGATAAGCCCCTTTTAAGTTGCTTTGTGTATCTGGCTACATTTTCTGGCGTTTTTTATTTGAAAAAAATTAACTGAACCCCACTTTTATTTTGTGTATTTTGACTTTAATGCTAGTTTCAGGTGTTGAAGCGGAAAAAATAGTGAATAAATAAGCCAAACCTAAGCAGATAATTGAGTCAAACTGGAATCTTTAATGTTGAAAATTTTATATTTTTCCGGAGTTATTACTACAGTATAATGCAGTACCTGTATGTATAACTGGG